AGACAAAAAGACATGGATGATTTGAGCGATTCAAAATGTATTCTACTAGTTTGCAGTCATCCAAAACGCTGAGCATTCACATGTTTGATGTGTATGTCTGATAATAACAATAGTAGCAAATGCGTTCAGACTACCAACTTTTCACACAGAAGTCTAGCAGGAAAATAGATCATGAACCCAAAAGGTAACATGACAACACTCCTCTTTCTTATCCTAATCCTTACCTTGTAATCATGCAGAATCCTCTCTGCAAAGGCCTTGTCCAGCATCTTCCTGTACCACTCCTGAAGCCTCTTGGGTTTGGGGATCTTCTGGTCCTGAGGATGGCAGTGGAAGATGTAGTCGTCTCCTTCACTGGGAGGACACGCCCAGATGTGGCCCTGGGCATATCTGCAGCCATAGACAGAGCAAAGAGACCATGTGTAAGTCAGGACATTTGATTCCTTGGAAATGTCATCACGACGTTCTCCTTATTTCCCATGGTGTCTCTTTAAAGAGGTTGGGCAGAAAAGGAGCGTTAGAGCAAGGCTCACCCGAGTTTTTTGACATATTCCAGATAGCCGATGAGGATCTCGTGGTAAACTGCTGTTCGTAGAATCCGAGGTCTGAAGAAGTGAATACTGTCAAGGTATGATATGTAGACCCGTCTGCAGAGGTAGAGAGAGGGAACATGGTCAGTTTCACTCATAAAAAGCACTCGAATACCAGCTTTATTGCCACGTGTTACATACAGGAGTTGGCTGTACAGACCTAGTGTTGGGGAATGCGCACTCTGAGCCGTACTCCTGCACGTGCATGCCAAAGAAACACACGTCCACGCCGTCAATCTCCTCGAAGGCGAAAAGTGCTTTGGTTCTGTAGGGGAAGGTCTCTTGCATTTCACCTGTGTCCACAAACCTGTCGTAATGAAGAAAGATTGAATATTAAAAAAGTGTGAACAGCATAGTGGGATGGCTCTGGATAATGCCAGCTGAACCATCACATGAGTCTGCACTGAACACGACCCTCAAAACACCAAGGTGAGGACTGTGCAAAGCTGGAGATTTTATATAGTATAATAAGAAGAATTCATGGTATTTATTTTAGAGCTTTTCCAAGTGCTGAAAGCGCTTTACATTACATATTCTAGATTACACATTCTGTATGCAAGGGCTGGTTTGCTTTCATTAACTGTACGGAGGCTCAGTCACTGGTACATTTTTATATACAAAGCCATGTTAGCGAAACTTCCATCTTATATCTGCTCCCTGATCTCACGGAAAATTGAAAGTGGCTACTGCCTGAGATCAAATGCTGTGGTTTATTAAATGTGCCAACTGCTAGGACTGTTTTAGGGAAGACAGCTTTTAGATGCGCAGCTCCTCTGTCTTGGAATAGTCTGCAAAAGGAATGGAAGCTGAGCAATCTGGTGCCACTAAATGTTTTTAAAGCTCGGTTGGATGCAACTCAATCGGAAGCTATTGGTACCTGTTTCTGGGGATAATTATGTAAATGATGCTGTACTGATGTCCTTGTTGTTCTGTCTATGTTTCTATGTTTCTATGTTTCATTTGGAACTACTTGAGCAGGTCTCACTTGAAAAAGAGATCAATGATCTCAATGGGATTCATCTGATTAAATAAAGGCTTGAAATGAAATATAAGACTTGCAATACCTTTGATACAAATGTGGAAAATACCCACAGGAGCAATTTAGGGTGAAGTGTCTTGTATAGCCAAAAATCCTCTTCAAAGTATTTGGTATCTCTTAAACATAAGCCATTTTTGTACGTTTATCATTTAAAAAACCCTTCCCCACTCGGACGTGTACATTGTTATTTTTTTTACAGTTTTGAATACATTTCACTTGTGTATGATCTATTAATGTAGCCTTAATATTTCTTTAAAAAATAATATGAATCATCTTGAATACGGTGCATAATACAGGAAATACATTTCTTACAATTACACAAAAAATGATAAGTATTTAAATCTAAGGCTTTTAGGAAAGAAAGCACACACAAGGCCAAACCTCGGTTTGGCCTTGTGTGTGTCTGCTTTCAGCTCTTTAGCATAATGGGACGATTCAAGTCAAGTGGCCTTGAGTCAATAAAAAGCAGCCTTAATTCATTCAACCTGAATACAACAGGTT